AAGGCAGTGGATTTTTGTTGGAAATGGGCCTTGTACAAAAGTGATACTTTTGAATTAAAAAAACCCCAAACAAACAAAAAAGCACACACAAAAAAACAGAATATAAGATTATGTTGTACACGGGCATAAACACACATCCTCCCTATTCCTCATAGCAAACTATTCAATTTAATGAGCGACTTTTTTCTTTTTTACATTTTGTTTTTAATTTGCCTTACTATTTTTATGAGGCAGCCTCTGTTGTAAGTCACATTATTTTTTTATAGTAACATTAACTTCCCTACTTACAAACAGGGCTTGCAGTTAGTAAATGCCTCAGATTTCCACAAAATATTCAGGGCAGACTATTATTACAATGATTTTTTTATTTCTATTACTGAACTTCAATCAGTTTAAAATTTGAAATGCTTTAATATCTGTATAGTGTTGTAATTTGTACTGGAGTAAATGTTTTACAGTTAATTTCATTTAGAAAAGGAGCTGATATAAAAGCCATTAATTGCTATGCTTAACTATTTTAAAAATACGTATTTCTTATGAGTTAGTGTAGTGTATAAATCAGTTACTATTTAATAAAGTCGTATAACCTTCTTGTTTATCAAAGTGTAGAAAAAAGATTCCAGCTGAAGTACTGAATGGCATCAGACAGAAAATGATCTTTGTACTTTAGCCAAGGTTTGATACATGCTCCAGTTCATGGCTTCGTTCTGTACATGCTGAATTGATTGACTGCACAATCCACTGAACGTCTGTGTATTGAGATAACCAGTAACATGTAACAGGTGAAATGTTTCTAATCAAAATCTTCTGGGCATTTCCCTCTTGTGATCTGTTATTTGCCCTTCTACAGGTTTTTTTCCCCCTTTTTTCCCAAATTACTGAACATGACCCTGTTTTAAAATAGTTAGAAATAATGGGAATTTTTTCTTTAGGTTGCCTAAGCTCTCTCTGTGTAGGGTATAAAAAAATAGTGCTGATTTTTGGCTCAAGACAGTTTGTTTTCACACAGTGACTGGGAAAACACGAAAAAAACCCAGTATCTTTCGGTTGTCTGGACACCATGGAAAAATATTCCCCCAGAAGATCAGGAGACTTTCAATAATATTTTGCTTGGCCTCTTGACAGAAGCAGCACTTGCTGTGGCATGGAGAACTGAGAACCTAACCGAAATAAATCCTCTGATTTATACTTGTCAACAAAGCTGTGGGGAGACATTTTGGAGCTCCAAGTACCCTTGAATCCCTTGCTACCATCATACTCTACTCAACTTGAAGCAAAAGGGTAGGGTGTGTCATGGCTTGAATGTAAGGCTTGGATGCACCTTCCTTTCTTACCCCTTTCAGAGCTCTTCTGCTCCAGTGTTGCCATGCCCCGTCTGTGGTCAATTCTCTGGTAGTATGAGGCACAAGAAAGTCAGAGATAGCTCATAAAATAGGAGCATGTTTAATCTACAGTATTGTATGAACTGTTTGGAGAAGTAGTAAATGTTCCTTCTAATGGAAGTGCTGGGAATTTTCAGTAAGATACACCACTTATTTCTGCTGCAATAGAGATTGCAATATAAGCCCATAACGATACAGAATGAAGACTCACAAAAATATTCCTTCATGTAATTTATAGCATTTTCTAAAATGCCGTCTTGTTTTCTTCCTCCCTTAGAAACGTGTGTAGAAACTGACTAATGATTCGGAGACAGAGATGTGAAATATTACATCAATAAGACTTTTTCATCCTTGTTGTTTTCCTAAACCAAAAAGCATTTCTGAAGTATTACCTATAAAATATGAGGCAAAGTTACCCAAACGAACACATTTCCTTGGGAATAACTCAGAGCACTGATAATAGTGATTAATGCGGCCTGCAAACTCCTGCTGACAAGATCTTGACACAGAATCACATAAACAAGTAATGTGTTGGCCTTTCACTCAGCTGCCCTCCTCCAGATACTTGTAGCTTCACATGCATAAAGTGTAAATACTTCTGGCTGAAGTAGAGTAGCAACACAAATGATGTTTACATTTGAAGCTATTTTCTTAATGATCCATTTAATCGAGTTAATTTGATGTAAATTATTTTGCAATTTTTGTATTTCTTTTCACTTTTCATAACAAGACTAGAGTGTTTGTCCTATCCTTGCCATTTTCTTTGGAATTTTTTATTTGTTTAAGTGTTACAATTTCAGTTAATGTAATTTTTTATTTCACTTGTTTTAGCACATTTCTGACCTAAGTGTTTTTCTTCCTTCCCTGACTGTTAATGATACATTTATTTTGGACATTTGCTTTCCATTCTCTTATGTTTGTGAAGAGGTAAATAATTAATTTCCCTTTTGTTGTGATTTTTTTTATTTTCCTTAAATAATATTTTTACTCTGTGAAAGAACAGGAGTGCTGTTTCACTTTAGAGTGCTTTCTGTGCAAGACAATGAACAGCAGTATCCATGAGAGATGCTGCAATGTTGTTCAGGGTTATTTTCAACTGATTTCTTTTCATTTATGACCAGCTTTCTGAGCAACCACCTATTAGAAAGTGGTTGGAGGAAATTTCATGGAGATTTCAGTTTTTGCTTGTTGAAATCCCCCTGCTATTTTCTTTTTCGGCACTCTCTTTTAAATGGGAAATATAGTTCCTTACTGAAACTTACAGTCTTCTTCCCTCTCTCTTGCTCCATCCTGGTTTCATGATTAAGTTTTTTGAAAATACTGTATGTCTGTCTCCTTGGGTTGTTCAGCATAGCCCTGAGGCTTATCTATTCTTCTAAGAAGAAATGCTTTGAAATTGAGAATCCTCAGATCTTGAGTAGATTTGGCCTCCAGGGCCAACACTTGTTCATCTCCCTTCTTCTTGTACCCTGCTGGAGTAAAACCCGACGAGAATTGCTTCTGCACCAAAATAATTTTACCTCTAGAGGCCAAACAATCTCCATTTTGGTTGAAAGATTTGGGGACATTGAAGGCAGAAGTGTTATTACAAGTCTAAATGGAATGATGGTGATATTAAATGCAGTTCTTTTAGACACCGAGTTAACTTTTCATAGTTCAATGAGCCCAAGGAATCTAGGACAAGGTTTTTTTCTTTGGTCTTAAGGGAAAGTCTTGAATTAGGGGAATCATCATGGTGGCTTTTAAGAAACTCATTACATTTTCCTCTCAGGATATGGTGGAGATCTATAACTCAATCAAATGTCTATGATGCGAGGCAACAATGATAACATCAGGTAAGGGAAACAGAACATTCTGACCCTTAGAGAGCTTAGAAAAATGGGAAATGTGAAGTGCATTGATTATTTGAAAAAGTACAGGTAGCACCCATTCAGATGTATTTCGTTGTTGCTCTCAACCATGCTGTATTTTTATGGGTGATTTTTTTCAAAAAAACCCCCAAACAAGTCTTGTCAGTCTGTAATGAGATATGTGCAGGTAGATTGTCCAAGATATATCATGCTGCTAGTAAATATTGGATGCCCTTGTTTTCAACAGAACATGCCAGAACGATAGAATAGATCTTTGAGTGGGGTGAGAAGGCTTCAGCAGGACTCATGCTCAGGAACTCAAGCTGCTATGTCCATGAGAAAAATCTCTCTCCTAAGATGCAACCAGCAATAACACTTTGGAATATCATTGCGATGGTCCATAGACTCCCCCATTTCTGCCTCTTTATTTCAGGCTGTGAGAACGACCTTCATTTCTGGTGCTCTGGTCAGTGGCCTGTCAGTAGACTTTTATGTATAGCTGGATGAGTTGGCACCTCCCCTCCAGTTAGCCCTTTGCAGTGGTTTGCCTCAGAATTTTGTTCCCAGGATAAACTCTTTCCTTGGCTCTCATAGTGTTTAGAAAGTAACTGGAAAACTAACTTCCAGAGTAGTCAGTGCTGATTTTTTATGCAGATGAACTCTGGATTTTTCTAAGATTTGGGGTTATGTCTATTATTTTTTCTCTTCAGTTTTTCTGTGAATGGTTCAGTTCTACACTGGAGCTGTTTATTTAAGAGTCCAGCAATGCAGATCAATTTGCATGGTTAGTTGATATTATCAAGTTCACATCTTTTTATGAAGAACTAAGAGGCAGTCAAAACCAGCAGAAATATTTTTTCCTCATTCTTATCGTGGTTACATATTTTGTTGGATATGGACACATTAGCTTAGGACTATCCATCTTTCCTAGGTGGATGGAGAGAGATGATTTGAAGTAACATGCTTTTAGTTTCTGGGCTGTTTTCAGTTCAGGGGAAGGGAGAGAAGAACGTGTGTCACTTGGAAATTGTTTTCCGTACGTACCAATCTTCGCTTTCCTAGTTAGCTGATAATGTAAGACCTGTATTGGAAACTTCAAAGACCCTTAGTTACTACTTACACTTAGGGGAGAGAAATTAGTTAAACTAAATTGAATATCATTGTAACCGTTAAACCTTGTTACCTAGGAGTAGTTGTTCTTCTAATGTGAATGTGGAGTTTCAACCATAATTCTACTTGCATGTATGCAAGGGTGGGGAGTAGCACTAGTAGCACTAATCCCAGCTGTTTCTGTTAATTTTAGCCTTTTAATCCTGTCCTGGTTCAGCATGTTTGTTGCTGATTCAGAGCCTGAAATTTTTGATAGATGTATGTTATAAGGCTAATTGCTACAGGGTACTATAATTGACTGTAGAAACAGAAGTAATATGTTGTTGTTGTAATGTATTATGGTCAGATTCACTCTAAACCTTTGCCAGAAGTGAAAGAACTTCAGATCCAGGGCTTTGTTCAGTCCCTGTTCCCTTTTCCTTTCCTTTTACCTTTCCTTCTTCTTTCCCCAAATGGTGTAGTATGTATTTATTGTTAAAAGGAAAAAAAACAAATTGTAAATGATGGGCGATTGAAGTCTTCCTTAAAAGAACTGTTTAATGGGTCAGCTCAGAAACATGTTCTCAGAAGCAAAATTGAATATGCAGTTCAGTTGTTGAGCCACACAGTGTCACCATTGGACTTCACTTCTTTCAAATCTGTATTCTTCCCATTGTAGGTGAAGATATTTACAAAGCCAGAGAAGAGGGGTCTGAAACCTGGGGGGCAGTTGAAGTGCAGGAAGATGAAGATACTCTTGTAGAAGTTCCACTGGACCAGGTATTGATTGAGCTTTAAATAAGTGTCTTTTTTCTTTTTTTTCTTTTTTTTTTTTAAGGATTACAGATTGTGTGTTGTTTTTCTTTCCTCAATTTCTTTCAAGTGTACAGCATAATTCTGTGGGGATGACTGTAAGCTCAATGATACATCTTCTTTTATGGAAGATTTAGCAAATCTTCCTTTCTCTGTTAATATGTCAAATGTCAGTTACCTTTTCATCAGCATCAGAACTGCTCTGAGTGCCCTTATAGAGCCTTAGAGAATCCCTACTGTTACAATCTACCAAATAGATTCATCTGAATTGCAGTCTCTTTAAACTGGTAGAGTAGTATTCCTCCAGTCCTGAACCACAAACAGGCATGCATTTATCTGATTTTTGTTAAAGCTGACAGCACTTTCCTTTGTTGGAGCAATATGGTACTTAATTGGCCAATTTTTTAATCCTAAGAGTTATGTGCAATAAACAGGTCTTGATAACTAGAAATAAGATTATATCCCCTTTGTTTTACTTTAATTTGTTTTTAAAAGAAACTCCTATGAACTGAAATAATACAGGAAATAGGTAAGTTGAAGCTTATTCCAATGAAGTGGAGAGTAGAACTGCTCAAGTTATTTACTGAAAAACTACTTTTTTTTTTTATGCTAATGAATTGCTCACAAGACAGCCCTCTTTTTCATCTTATGTGTTTTTAGGAATTTGCCAACTTGTTCAACTTTTTTTCCAGTCCACAAGTTGTTGCATTCTGACTTTCTGGGGGTCAGCTCAGTACTGAGGAATGGTTTTTAACCTGAGACTGTAAACAAATTGGAGGGAGTTAAAGATAATAGTTTGTAAATACACTTTGATTACTCAGGGCAGTCCGATGGAGCACAAACAATCCAGGAGATTTCTGGAGTGTGTTGGAGACAGTTTTTTGATGTAGGTAATAAAAGACGTGATTAGGAGAGGTGTTCTGCTGGATTTGCTACTCATGAATAAGTAGAAACTGGTTGGAGATGTGATAGTGGCAGCCTAAGTTGCACTGGCCATGAGATGATAAAGACCCTGAAGAAAGTGGGGATGGAAAATAATGAAATAAAAATCCTGGACTTCAGGAGAGTTGACTTTGGCTTGACTGGGAAACTGGCAGGCAGGATCCTGTGTGAGGCTGCCCTGAGGTGCAGAGGAGTATGGGAAGTCTGGGTGATTTCCGAGGGAATCTTCCTCAGAGCACAAGAACTATCTCCATTGTGCAAGGAAACAAGCAGGCATAACAGGAGGCCAATTTGAACAGAAGACTTCTGACTTCATACTAAAAGAGAGAGAAGAGGGAATGGACTGTTAAAGAGCATTATAGAGACATTGCCTGGATATGCAGGCCAAAGCCTGTTGATGAATGGAAGCTAATGCATGTGATTGGGAATAATCAACATGGATTTACTACGGAGAAATCATACTTTACCAACCTCATTGCCTTAGTGATCAAATGACTGTCTCTGTGGGTGAAGGTAGTGCAGTTATTGTCATTTATCTTGCCTTCAATGTAGACTTCCATATTTGTAGGAGAAATTGGAAGAAACATGGTAGATTTGGTGAGGAGAATATCCTTAAGGGATGTAGGGGATGGATTTATGGGCTACAAGGTGGATGAGAAACTGGTGGTTTGGTGAGACTTGAAACGTTAGCTGGTTGAGATTTAACTGGCACCTTTTTATAGACGGTGGTTCTCAAGGTTTGTTACTGGATCTGAGACTTCTAACATGTTCATCAGTAACACAGGTGATGTCATGGAAGGAGACAGATCAAACTGCTCTCTGGAGCTACAGATGGAGCAGCAGAGAAAATGGAGCCAGGCTTTTCTCTGTGTTGCACAACAAAAGGATGAGGCAATGGTCAAAACTTACAGCAAGGCAAATTCTAATTGGACGTGTTTCCAACAGAGAGAACTGTAAGCACTTTCCTGTTCAAAGAGAGTGGGGAATCTTTGTCTTGAATGATATTAAAATCTAAACCAGAAGTTTAGTTTTAGTAATGATAATTTTTTTTTGCTTTGAAGCCAATGCAATAGACACTGGTGTAGATGATCTCTAGAGCAGTAGTCTTCAAATGGAGTGTGCACAGCCCAGAGGGTGTGCAAGACACTCCACTGGGATACAGAAAGAAATGTTAGAACTTCGGCTGTACACAATTTATAAATAAATAAACAAACATATACTGGGGATTCATACTCAAAAAGATTTTACTGATGTGGGTATGGTATCTAAACTTTTTGGAGACCACTGCCCTCTATTTGTACCGGGTAAAAGAATACTAGACATATATACATTTAACTTGTCTTCTGCTTTTTAAAAAAATACCTGAGGGGAAATTAGACATTTTATGACCTTTCTAGACATTTTGAAGAATGGCAGCATACCATCTAAAAAAAAGTAATGGATCCCTCCATTTTATTTTAGGCTTCTGTTTCTAAAATGGATCTTTCTCATGATTTATTCACTTTAATGGGAAGAAGTGTTGCTCAGCTATTTTATAGAGGTTGTTCTTGAAGACACATGAATCAGGAGATAGAAAAAGGCAACAAGAGCATGACTGTCCTGGTCCCTGATATAAGAAATGCTACATCTGTGTCTTTTTACAGCAAATACGAGCCCCAGCCTCAGAGACTTATATGCTAAACACCATTGGGCTCATCAGCCCTGTAAATTGAAGTTGTCCTTGTGAGGTGTTCTGATAATTAGGATGTGTACTGTTGCACTGATAGTACTGACATTGGGGAAGAATGTGCTGCCTCTTGTCTTAATCTTTGTTTCTTATGACATCCTGAAGCATATCCTGCCCTGGCCTAGGCAGTGTAATAATCAAATTGAGAAGTGATTAGCCTGTTTATTGGCCTCTGAAGGTGCGTAAAGAATTCCTCTGGGTAGACTGAAACATTTGACAGTGTAATTTAGGTTGTCAGGCCTTAGTTTTTAGGTTGACTGCAATTCATATGAAATCCAACCCTGGAGACAGCTGCCTTACTTCTCCACAGAGATCCTACAGCACAGGCAATAGCTCTGCCCATTCTGCCACGTGTCTCACCAGTTTGCCATCCCTAGGGAGGGGGGAATAGTTAACTCTCTCTGCTACCACTTCTATGTTTGGCAGTGGAACTGTTGATACAGTTGCCAGTAAGCATCAGATGTACTGGCAAGCTTGCAGTGCTCAGACCTTGCTCGATACGTCTAAGCTCATGTACCAAGGTCCATTCATCATCCTAAAATGGAAATATTTTTCAACTGCTTCCAACAGATTTTGCTACTGGACAAGGAACTGGAAGCAGGTGTGTTTGAGGGAAAAAACCAGAATTAAATATCAGTCATGCACAATGAATAATTTTCATATTTTCATAAAAGCCAAACAAAGCACCAAAATTTATTGCAACTCAAGCCATGGTTTAGTTATAACATTAAAACTTCATGTATAGTTTCCTAGGTAATCTGGCAAGAAACTGTGTCCTTCTGAGAAGCACGGAGTACTTTTTATTCCCTGATAACTGAGGTCACTCAAACCTTGAAAGCATTTAGCATTGTACATGTTCAGGTTCTTATTAATGACCATTTTAAATTGTTTTAAATTCCGTGTTGTAAAGCTTTTACAGCTTTTTCTTATCTGCACTACAGTTTCTGTTATTGCTAGAAATATGGAAAAGGACAGCCAGTCAGGGCTTGACTATCTTGCATAATGCATAAATATTTACATGCCAGCTTTCACTAGAATACTGACACTTCTAATAGGCTATGATTTCCGTCAGGCACATAAATGAGGTGGTGAAGATAGAGCTTTTTTTTCTTTTTATGCACCTTCTCCATCTTGCTGTTTGAAGTACACAGTTGAACAAATGCCAGATTAGCCATTAACTAAGCTTAGTGTAATACTGGCTAGACATTCACTTATGTCCTGCTCTATAAAATGCTGTCTGCCAGCTGAAAACACATTAAAAGAACAGGATTTGCTTTACTCTAGACTAACTGACAGTTGTAATTGAACATCAAGGAGGAAAAAAATCACTATTTTACCTTAAACCAAACCAGACCCTTCTGTTCTATATTCTGTACTGAGACTTCAGCTTCCAAATACAAAATGGATAGTTTCTTCTTTTGACATGCAGACTTACTCCAGGTTGGTTGTTTACATCACTGTGTCAACATTTGTGGGAACTGATGACAGACTATGAAATCAATTGTGCAAATAACAAGGGAACAAGGTGGTTTTATTGCTATTCTTGATAGTGAGGCAGCAAAACAACACAAGTTTCTTACTGAAGATGGTAATTAAGTGTGTTACTTTGAGTTTTCTGTTAATAATATAAATATATTCAAAGTAACTCTGAGATAGAAACTTTTATAACTCGTAAGGCTTTCAGAAAAAAACTACTACTTTTTCTTCAGTTCTTTATAAGTTGTGAAATACAAAAGCAGCAGTTTGTAGTAATAATATTGAAAAAACACTGCAAGTTTGCACTGGTTTATCCTTTTCCCCATAAGCATGGTTGTTCTTCTCCCATGCTGAGCTGTTGGGAGGTGGAGTAAGCATGAGAGTTATAAGATAGGAAGTTATCCAGTGCATGACCTCTATAAGGAATTCAGGCATGTTGTTGTGCCAGCCTGCTTTGCCATGGGGTATGTGATATTGGCTATTATGATGTAAGTTGTGTAGAAAGAGTCTGTTTCGGTTTTGGTTTTGTTTTGCTCTTTGGGTTTTTTTCCCTCCAGATTCATCATCCCCATCTCCTTCTCTCTTTCTGTGTTTGTTTGTAAAAATCATTGGATGATAAATTTGTCTAACAGGCACTTTTTTATTTTATTTTTTTTTTGTAGATGTTCACACTCTGGGTTCTTAGCCATTTGCTTTACATTATTACAGACATGTCCACTGATTAATGGAGTCCTCCACTCATTATTCCCCATTTCCTGGGCTGTGATATGAGATTGTGTATCTCCCCTAGGTGAGCTGGGGCTGGAGTGTATCATCAGTAGCA